GGGTCAATTGACACAGTTTCACTTGCTTCAGCTGCTAGACCATCCCTGACAGGACTTAAAACATAATCTTGTTTTTAATATCTTTAACTATCTCGCTTTTTTTAATAATTTTAGTTATACATTTAATATTATTAATAGTTTAAAAGTTCCATGATATTATTTATCAAAATACTTAAAAGAGTTTCATAATATGTTTTATCATTAATGTAACTAAACTTTGTAAATAAGTTTTCTAAGTTGCATGTGTAACTTGTGTATGTGTTGTGGGATGCAACTATTCTTGTTTTAGTTTTTTCTTCAGTGTATTTTGACTAAATTATTGCTTATTAATATAACTAAGTTGTATAAATGACTGTCACTGTTATTGTTAGTTTATTTTAACTAATGTGTTGCTTATAAGTATAACTAAAATGTGCAAGTCACCATCACCGTTACTTTTAGTTTTCCCAAGCGATTCAGTTAGAGAGACTCCAGATCCAGATCAGCAGGAAAAGGCAGAGTGTCTTTTAGCAAATACCATAAAGTCATCTATCCTTTACGCTACAAAAATTATTTCTCAGGGAGGAGGAGCTAATTTCACTTAAGAAAAAGTCAAGAAAATATAAACTATAAATTACATTTGAAGTAGCCATCAAACCCTATCAATACAAATCTACTCATTTATGTGGAATATTTCAAAACTTGGTTAGCAAGTTGAAGATAAGTGCTAAAATCAGTCAATTTCCCAAAGTTTGATTATTTCCTAAAGTCGCACGTGGGTCCACGCACGTTTTTAGCCTTTTATAATTAAAATAATATAATATGAAGAAGCGACATAGAACCATCTCACTGACTCGGACAAAGGAAGCAAACGTTGAGGTCACAAAGCCAATCACGAACAACCTGAATTTTTTTTTAATTTTTTCTTCTTTTTTTTCCTCATTTATTATCAATAAATAAAAAAACCCCGCCAAATTCCTTATTTCATGAATTCACTATAAAATAGCCACATCCCATCATTTCTTAAGCATACAATATTTTAGCATATTCTCTTCATTTCATCAAAAACACATGATATATACTACTCCACACCATATTTCATAGTGATCACTTTATACAATATGTCTTTTTTTAACTCGAACTTCTTTAGTTGTTTCGTCTCTTCATCGACACGTGTATCTGATGTAAGCACGCAAAACGCCTCTGAGAAATTGAAGAAGAAAGTGAAAACACCCCGTCCGCCAATTCCCATGTCTTTATTCCCGTTAAACTCGCAGGTCTCGCGCTTGTAGAAATCTTAATTAGTTCCGTGTGATTATTATGTACGATCTTGCTCCGGTCGAGGATTCATTTCACCACAAGAAATTTTTTCGTGGGGTTTGTCACGGCAAGAATTATAATGATGGGCTTTCTTTTATTATTGCTTCATTCCATGATTATTTGTCACATTAGTAGTAGTAAAAGAAAAATATATATCTATGTGTAACAGTTCTTCGTGGACATATATTTTAGTTATGAGGAGGCCTTGAATCTTGAAATTGTTGTTTTTTCGGTAGTTAGGATTTTCATTATAGTCCTTTTTCTATTATTAATAGTATTTTTCCCCGTGCGATGCACACGATATTATTTAAATAGTGAAAAAAAACAATTAATTTAATACATAATAAGAAAATATAGTACACTAATATAGTAAAATTTAATCATGTAGTATTATTTATATTAATATAACAAGTTTTTTTAAATCTTACATATTAAGATTTATAATCCAAATAAATAGACTAAGATTTAACAAATCGAAGTTCTAGCTTTATCTTTTAAGATTTGAGATATATATAGATGAAAAATAGGAGATTAGTAATTGTTGAAAATTATAGTTAAAAAATTAGTAGAGAAAAAATATTAAAATAAATAATTACATAAGTACCAATAAGGTAGGATTCTTCACCGCTAAAAAAAACATATAATATAAGGTAATACACATTCAAAAAATTTAAGAAACCCCATATAATATATAAATTAATAATGGCATAAAAATAATTCTTAAATTACGTAGTACAATAGGTATTTTAAAGTTATAAATCAGTATATAAATTAATAATTATTGATTTATCGATCAATTAGTAATTTGCTAAGTTAATAGGATTTTGATGGTCCCAACTGTATTAGGTTTAACGGTAGTGTGGTCCTCGGAAACACTCCGCCATGTAGGGGCCGAATATAAGAAACAATGGCGAAGCTAGACTTTATCACTGTTGGGGCCGAATATACTAATTCCCCATACGTTAAAAGAAAATAGTGACAACAACAATTGTTCTAAGAGTGGTGAATCTAAGATTTGGCAGGGCCCCTAGAAAAAAAATTATGACCTTTTCTTTAACAAAATTAGAAGATAGGAAAATAAAAAATAAAAAGTAAACTTTTAGAATTTTCCCTTTTTGAATTAATTTGAATTTTTTATGGCCTAAATAATAAAAATTGGGTAAACTAAATAAAAATATAATTATAATACAGAGACGATAAATTATATATACATAAATAGTAGTAAAAAAACTAAAATTTGAGGGGGCCATGCCACCCCTACCCTAGCTTTTCCGTTGACAAGAAATAATATTTTGAATTAATTATGACATATGATTAGACATAAAATGTCGTCCTTATGGTATCACTAATTTTATATAGTGACAATAAAAGGGGAATTAAGTGACAATCAAATGAGTTATTAGTGAAAACAAAAAAAATATTCAATTAAAGTATGTATTTAGTGACAATTTTTTATAGTATCTCAATTATAATATCACTAATTCCATTTTTTTTTCTTACGGTGCATTAACAATCTAAAATTATTCAAATTTTAGTTAGTCCCATACAAAATTGTGATTTGGACTTATTAAGGGGCAATTTGAAACACCCATTGGGGCTAATAGTCTTTCAAATCAAGATCGTCGCAATTTTGCAATTTGGTAATGTCTTTTGTTCTTCACACACGCCTTTATTGTGTCTACCCTAACTGTTCTCCGTCAAATTTCATCCAACTACACTCCATCAAATCTGCTCCACCCCCGCTCTTCGCCGATGCCATCATCGAAACTTTGTCCCACAACCACACACAGTCACACACACATACGCAACCACACATATGCACAAACATACGATTTTGGTTACACTCATTCATCTCCGCTGTAACCTAATAAATATGGAAACCAAAACGAAAAAATATGAAAATTATTTGGTGATAGTGAATGGTGATGGTAATGTTGGTGGTGATGTACGCACCAGTGATTTAAGTTTTTTTCTTCAACTTATTTTAACTAATTAGCTATGCAGATAAGTTTTCTAAGTTGTTTAACTTCATAGTAAAATTACATATAAAACAAGTTTGTTTTATAAATTGTTGCTCGTTAATGCAACTAAGCTCCGTAAATAAGTTTTCTAAGCTATATGTGTAAGTTGTGTATGTGTTGTGGGATACATCTATTCTTATTTTAGTTTCTTCTTCAGTTTATTTTAACTAAGTTGTTGCTTATTAATATAACTCAGTTGCTACTTATTAATATAACTAATTAGTTGTGCAAATCACCGCATCGTAGTTACTATTAGTTTTCCTAAACAATTCCGTTAGAGATACTCCAGACCTAACATCAGAACCAGAGCGTAAAAGAGCACAAGAACTTTCAGCAAAAAAGAACAATCGACATGTCCTTAATAGGTATAGAGAATATTTTTTAGGGTCTTCTAGCTAATTTTCCCTATTTAATAATTTAACCAAGAATGAAAAGAAGCCTAAAAAGTAAAGGTGCATGATAAAAGAGTACTAAATAAAGTTTCTCCATCCACAAACATGCAAATACACCAAAACAAAGAAATTACACAAAGGAAGATCCCATCATTTTCAAGAACCGTAATATCATGAAATTAATCATCAAAATACCCATCGTCATAGCCACCTAGGTCAGAAACACCTCCTATGTCATTAGCATAGTACATTTCCTCCTCGTATTTTTTAATGGAGTCGACGTCAAGCTTAAGATCTTTAATCCTTTCGGAGCATAATTTTCCGAAATTAACATTGTGACACCGTCTCATATAAAGCGATTTAAGATGGAGACAACCTTCGAGAATTGCCTTGAGGCCCACATTTGTCATTCTATTTCCGAAAATCCGAAGCTCAACGAGTCCAGGCATGTTTTGAGCAATTGCTAGAGCCTCTTCGTCAGATTCGCCACTGCGCCAATCGAAGCTGGTCAATATGAAAAACTTGAGTAATGGGCAACTTCGGCCAACGGTTTCAATAGCTTCAACATCGATATACGTGTGGTTTAGATACAGATTCTCAAGCAGAGGTAGATTTTTAACTGCTTCTTTCACACCTTCACCGGTTATGTCGTAGCAATTTACGAGTGCAAGATGTTTGAGCTGACCGGACCTGTTAAAAATTGTTGTAAACCCATAGGAATTATTGTATTGGAGATATTAATACTCAATGATACATTTCACCTAGTGGAGTTTTAAGGTTAATGGACACCAATTGAGAACCTCATTAAATACTATTGCTTTTAGGGGGAAAAAAATCTTATTTGACTAAAGGGTAAATTACGGCCAACCCCTCAGTTAAGGTCAAGTTACAAAAACTCTCATCCTGTTTGGGTAATTACAGCTACCCATTAAATATGTATTATCTAACAAAAAAACCCTCAAGAGGTAAATTTAGGAATGTTAATTCGGTAAAGCCGAAATTCCGGTACGCCAACATTTCATATCGTTTACCGAATATACGATTTGGTTCGGTAATAAATAACCATAAATTTTATTGAAAATATTTAAAAGATGGGAGTGGCTGTAATTACCCAAACAAGATGGATTTTTTTCATAATTTAACTTTATCTCAGAAGTGGCCGTAATTTATTGAGTAATCGTTGTTTATTGCTTCATTAATTTGTCATTCATAATAGGGTAAAGTTGAAAAGAAAATAAATAAATCATATTTTGAAATTCTAAAATCACACTTGATATAAGAAAAATAATTATGACTAAAGTGACTTTTAAAAAGAAAACTAGCTTAAGTTTTCGGTCAACAACAATGTTAATTATTAAATAGCACTACAAAATATTGGAGAATATCTTTACACGAATGATTTGCACTACAAGAACAAGACAATTTAAGACACCCACTACGAGAAGAAAAACGTTGATCAGTGACATATTTTAAAAGAATAAATTAAAACGGCCCTTTCTGAGATAATTAGGTCTATTGATGAAAAGAAATCCCTCAATTTTCTATAATTACTTAACCCAAAAATTTATAAATTTCTTACAAGAACACTCTTTTATAACCCTTTTATAAGGAGTGAATATAAAAAATCTGAAGGAAGTCTTTTTTTTTATACAATTACAGTTTATTTCAGAAAGGTGGTCGTAATGTACTCTACTCTATTTTGTAATGTATTCTACTCTCTTTTAAAACGCTTGCCTTCAATAATGTCATTTTCTTAGTTAGAACTAACGATAAAATCTCAAACTTCCATAAAAAAATGGAAAGCAATAAACACCAATAATAGATATTACCTTTGAGAAATATAGAGAAGCAAATCATTGGTACCGGAACCTTTAAGGGTGATGCCAATTAGTTGGCCTTGGCTGAGATCCACCGCACGGCGGCACAAATCATCGAAGTCGTGCGGCCACTCGACGTCCGATTTTTCCATCCTAACGTACCGCCACATGGAAGGTTGCATTGAAACGCTCCGCCACGTCGTACACACTTCCACCGCCGTCGTCAGAATCTCAACCGCACCCAGCTTTAGTAAAATCGCCGCCGTTATCTCTCGCGGCAGTTTCTCCCACGGCGGCGGTGTTGCCTCCTCCTCTATCGAATTGGAAGACGACGACGCCATTGGAGTTTCTTGTGTTTTTTCTTATTTCGAATAATAAAACGGTTGGTTTTGGGAGACTTTTTATAAGCTGTAAATTAGGGCATCAAGTAGTAGTGTACTCTTTAACTTAAGTATAAATGCATGGCGTGGTGCAGAGTAAATATTCTTTTTCATTGGAAGTCGGAAAGACTAAGGTATAATTATCTCTAAATTTTAATATTAATGCATTTCATAAAAATTATGAAATTTAAAAGTACCTATTCCTAACTTTTCTCAAGAGCAAATAATTTATTTTTAAGGGGTTTTTGTGCATAGGTATCTAATCGAGCATCTTTATTATTTTAGCTTTAGAGGCTATATCTCTTTCACCAATAAGCCAATCTCTTTAATATTTATTATAAATAAATGAAACATTCATGTATATGACAAAATTATCCCCAACCTTTTATACCCAATTCTTAATTGTAATCCCAATTTAATCAATTTTGACCACAAAAATCCAATTTTGACTTTTTTTTTAATCTTTTTTTTCAAAAAAACATTTTTGCCATCGAATTCCGGCGTTGATATTTTTTTTTTGGACTGTTTTTTTCCGCCGTCGGATTCCGGCGTTGACTTTTTTTAGTGTTATTTTTTTTTTTTTTTTTTTTACGTCTGCCGCTAGACATTGACTGTAATTGTGCTGTCACTGACAGTAAGTAAATTAACGTAAATTATACTGTCAATGACAGTACATTTATGTAATTGTTCTGTCGTTGACAATACATTTATGTAATTGTTCTGCCATTGACAGTAAATTAACGTATTATTATTATTATTATTATTATTATTATTATTATTATTATTATTATTATTATTATTATTATTATTATTATTATTATTATTATTATTATTATTATTATTATTATTATTATTATTATTATTATTATTATTATTATTATTATTATTATTATTTTGTTATTTTTTTTAATTTTGTTTGATTTGTTGACAAGTCAACGTAATTATATTACTGTCGTTGACTGTAAAATAATTGTAGACACAATAATATTACTATCAACCACATCAATATTATTATTTGTTTGGGTTTTTTATGTTGTTTGAGTTATTCACGGAGTAACGTAATAATATTACTGTAAACACAATCATATTATTGTGGTTAACGGTAATATTATTGTTGTTATAGTAATATTGTTGTTAACCACATCAATATTATTATTTTGTTTGGGTTTTTTTTGTTTGATTGAGTTATTCACGGTGTAACGTGATAATATTACTATTATTGTAATATTACTGTGGTTGACGGTAATATTACTGTTGTTATAGTAATATTACTGTCACTCAGAGTAATATTAATTATTTTGGTTTTTTATTATGTTTACATTGGTTGAACGGTCAACATAGTAATATTACTCTATTACACAATAATAATGAGTTTTGTTGTGTTAATATTATTGTGTTAGAGATTAATATAGCAATATTTATGTGTTAAACTATAGTATAGTTAATTTTACTGTGTTTAACAGTAATATACTCCCTCCGTTCCATAATATCTGTCACTTTGGAGAGTTTTTTTGTTTCATATTATCTGTCACTTTAAATTTCCACCACTTCATTAATTATTTAATTTCCAATTTATACCCTTATTAACTCTTTCCAGCACTCTTTTTTTTAACTAATTTATCTCTTTTATTAATTATAATATAAGGTCATTTTAGTCTAAAAACATACATTTTCCTAAAATCAAGACACATTTAATGAAATTCTTAATCTTTGTGTAAAGCTAAAAAACAACAATTAAATTGGAACGGAGGGAGTAGTTAATATTACTGTCAATCACAACAATATTGTTGTTTAAACGAGAAAAAAAGATGTTACGGAAAGAAAGAAAGAAATTAAAAAAAAAAATCGAAAAAGTCGCCGGAAACCGGTGGCGGAAAATCAGGAAAAACAAATCAACGACGGAAACCGGTGAAAAATCAGGAAGAAAAGAAGGAAAAGAAAAAAAATCAACGCCAGAGACCGGCGGTCAACGGCGGTGACGGACGAAATTGTCCATAAAAATGTGTTTTGGGTCAAAATTGGATAATTTATAAAATTTGGGGTCAAATTGAGGTTAAATTAAATTAAAGGATGAAATTGAAGCATATTAAAGTATGAGGCGGTATTTTAGTCTTTCACAAAAATCTGGACCATGTGAGGATTTTTTTGTCAATGAGTTTATTGTCTGGATCTCTTTATGAATAAGTACATATTGATGAGCTTATTTGTAAAGACCCCTATTTTTAAAAGTACCTATTCCCCACTTATTTTTTTAGAATCTTATAATTAGTAAAAATAACTTATTGGAGTTATTATGCATAAGTCCCTCACTAATTATTTTTATTATTCTAGGTTTAGGGACTATATCTCTTTCGCCAATAAGCTCATCCCTTTAATATGTATTATAATTTATAAATAAAGGCAAAATTAATTTATACGACAAAAATGCACCCAACCCTTTAAACTCAATTCCTAATTGTAATCTCAATTTAACTTCAATTTCATCGATTTTTACCACAAAAATCCAATTTTGATTTTATTTTGTAAACCTTTTTTTCTCTGATTCTTTTTTGCCGTCAGTCTACGGCGTTGATTTTTTTTTCCAGTCTGTTTTTTGCGCCTTCGGTTTCCGGCGTTGACTTTTTTTTTCCTGTTTTTTGCGCCGGCAGTCAGCGCCGGTGTCCGATGTTGAATTTTTTTGACACTAAATTTACTAAAAACAGAATAATATTACTGTTAACCACATCAATATTATTATTTTTTGGCTTCTTTATTTTACTTGATTTGTTGACGAGAAAACGTAATAATAATACTGTCGTTGACGGTAAAATTACTATACACACATTAATATTTTTTTACCCTTTTTATTTTGTTTGTTTTGTTGACCGATTCACGTAATATATAATATTACTGTCTACTATTGTAATATTACCGTAAACACAATAATATTACTGTGTTTGAGAGTAACATTAGTGTTGTTACAGTAATATCACTGTGGTTGACATAATATTACTGTCAACCACATCAATATTAATTATTTTGGCTTTTTATTATGTTTGTCTTTGTTGAACAGTCAGCATATTAATATTACTTTATTGCCCAATAATAGTGATTTTTACTATGTTAATATTACTGTGCTAGAGAGTAACAATACTACTGTGTTAAATTGTAATATAGTTAATATTATTGTGTTAAACAGTAATATAGTTAATATGACTATCAACCACAACAATATTACTATTTGAACGTGCCAAAAAATATTATAAAAAAAAGTCAACGTCGTCGGAGACCGGCGTTGACTGTCGGTCAGCGACCGAAGAAAATGTAAAAGAAAAAAAAAAGTCAACGTCGGAACGGAAAAAGCAAACATAAATATATAAAGAAAAAAAAGGTCAACACGGGAGACTGACGGTCAGCGGCGGCGACATGCGAAATTGAAGTCAAAATTGGGTAAGGATCAAAATTGAATAATTGGTGAAATTTGGGGTCAAAATTGAAGTTAAATTGAATTGACGTAATCCAAGTTTGCACCCTTGAAATATACCATTTTGACACTTTGCACCCTCGAAATAAATTAATAGCATTTTTCACCCTCAAAACATAATATATCATGCATAATGAACCCTACATGAATTTTTAGAGCTAATAAAGGTAATTTAATATTTTTAGCAGTATTTAAAAATTATATTTTATATCATAAAATATATTTTACAAAACAAAAAAAAAAAAATTCCTTCAGCTATTTCGTTATCAAGTTATCTGAAAATCATATTTTCTTCCAAATATATTTCTACCTAATATTTCCACCAATTACAATAAAAGATTCATCAATCGAATAATTTAGTGATAAAATTTTATTTGATTTTAATTTATAAGAAAAAAAAAACAATTTTCGGGTGTAATTTTTATTTTTTCGCCCTTTGTGCCCGGAAAAAAGAACCAATGAAAATGAATTATCATTTATTATTCCATTCAAAGTGCATTGCGAAAGATTTATTGAGTTTTTGAAGGTGCAAAGTGATATTATTGTTTTTCAATGATGCAAAGTGCCAAAATGCTTCATTTGTAAAAAGTATTGGGGATGTTTGTTTTTATTTCCAAAACTCATTTCCAGTTTTATACTATTTATAAAACCGAGATCATGTTTGTTTGATAATTTTATCCATAAAATCTCATTTTTCTTATCAAATTTCTATTGAAAACCTACTAAAACCTACTAAGTACTAACTAACCTATATATTTTATTCCACCAACTCATTTGTCTCTCCTTCTATTCATCACTCCTCATTAATATTTACACACTCTCTCCTCCCAATTTCTCTCTCTCTTCTTCTTCTTCTTCTTCTTCTTCTTCTAATAATAATAATAATAATAATAATAATAATAATAATAATAATAATAATAATATATTTTTTTTAAATACTTGATGGATAAATAAATTAAAATAATTACTTTTAAATAGGAAAAAAACAAAAGGAAATAAATAAAAGGACTTGAACTTAATTTTATAAGAAAAAATTGGATGTGAGGGTATTTATAGGAAAATGGGGGGAAAAAATTCAAAAAAAGCAAATAACGGCCGGTTCACTGTGCCAGTTCACTGGGCCGGTTCAGCTTTATAAAGCTTTTTTTTAGTTTTTTTTTAAACCGGATGAACCGCCGGGCCGGCTCGGCGGTTCACGGTTCACCTATTTCTAGAACCGGGCCCGTCCCGAAGTACACGGGTCGGTTCATAGTTCCAGGACCGGTTCACCGGCTAACGGGCTGGTCCGGTTCGTCAACAGACCGGTTCGGGTCGGTTTCAGGGGCCGAAAACCGGCCCATGGCCGTGTCTAGGTATGCCCGCTCATGAGCCTGCCACACCGTCTCTCGGGTTCCATAAAGCCCAAAATCATCAATACATGATCAAACTCTGTTGGGATCCTCTCATTGTATTACTCTCTATATTGAGGGTCCTCACGAAGTTTCACGATGAGTAGTCGGATGTCGTCTTACATTGTGGGAAAACATTGCACCCGAGTATCTACACTGTCTCTCCAAGTTCCATAAAGTCCAAAATCATCTCTAGATGATCGCACCTTGTCCTCCAAAACTAAATCCGGCAAATTCAAGAACCATTTCGATGAGGGGGGAACCACTTCTTCCACTTGTAAATGCAGAACCACCACTGGCATTTCGGTTGCTCTTGCATATACGATCAGATCATCCTCCTCCAACGGACCTAACCAT